AACTTTGTGTTTGTGGTGGCCCTCAGGTGGGCAAGACATTCCTTTTTGCCACGAATCATCGTGCCATTGCACAGTGTTTGCAGAAATTCATCAGTTGTGAGCATGCCAGCCATTTGTCCTTTAATACTTCACGTTGGACATCCACCGGTAGGTATCCTGCCCTTCTCGTGTTCGAGCTGCTCACCGCCATCAAGACGGTTGCGCTTGGTGAAGTCACCAGGCGAGGTGGAGGGTACATCATGTTTGACCCTCAATTTGACGGAGAAACGTTTTTGTACACTTCCAAGCGTTTGTTTGAGAGACCAATTGAGTGATCACATGAATTTTGCACACACCGTTACCTAAGCAGTGCTCAAAGAACGGTGTCGACATTTTCCTATTCGTCTTGAACTTTGGTTCATCGCCATGTTTGTGATGCAGTGTGTGATCGTGGTATCCATCTGCTGCATGATGATGCCAGCTAAGCGACAATCACGATCCCGCTCGAATTCGGGATCCAGTGCCGGATCATCTTGGGATGATGAGGTGGAGGAGGAGACGTCACACGTCAAGCTTTCAGCCCGCAAGCGGCAATCTTTGAGGCGTCGGTTGAAGTCTGTCGGAAAGCCCGCCTCGGTCAAAGACATTGATCCGAATGAGCCTCGACCTCCGAGCACTCCACCTCCGCAATCGACAGCGACCGGCAGTGCATCCTCGAGAGGCGACAATACCGCAGTTCCACGACCTCCTTCCAATGAGTTTCCTCCGAGCTTGGTTCACAACGTGACGACGTATGTGGGCACCAAGTCTGGCAGAGCTTTCCATTTGGAGCATTGTACAGTTGTACGTCATCGTACACATGATGTCGATCGTTGGGATCTTTGTTCCAAGTGCTTTCCGGTGACGCCCATTCGATTTCCGAAAGGAAAGGGCGTGATGTGCCTTGGAAATTTGATGCATTCCGATGGACACTGCAATAATCTCCGGAACATCGACATGTTTGGAAAAGTGATCTACAAAGTGCCGTGTCAAAGCTGTATCAGCACAATCGAGCACTGATTTGAGCCACAGGCTATTGGACTTTTTGAGCCAAAGGCTATTTGCCCTTTGAGCGGAAAAGCCGAGTCAGCCAGTGCCATTCCAATCATTCCCACTTCCCTGAATCACTTCAAGATTTTTGGAGGTAGTTCCAATTTTATCCAAGTTCCAACGATAGCAACGATGAGTTCGTAAGCTTTGAATCCTTGCACGCTTTGTTTCGTTTCGCGTCTAATTGTGTCATAATAATAGACTTGAACTGCAGAGCATTCTTGCTATAGTTGACTTGATCATTCCGTTCCATGCACTTTTTATCGGCAGGTTGAAGACCGCCTTGCTCCATGGCCATCAACTCAGATTCTTCCAAGCATTGAGTGCTGGGATTATCTCGAAAGGGGGTGCGAAAAGTTCAAACCCTAGGTGATGAGTTTCCATGTCGAGATAACCCACCAGGTGCGTTCTGAGAACCATCCATGAATTCAGTCACAACTTCCCTTCCGGTCAGGTACATGCATTTCGTTCCAGCCGATATGCCATTCGTTGCCGGATGCCGCCGCATCCTTCGAGCTTTCGATGCAATCATGGCTCAAGCCATGCACGGACTAGATCATGAAGTTGAGCGACAAAAGTCCGATCGAGTGCAGTTGGGATTGGGTGGAGGGTCATGTTTTGTTCTGGTGTTCATTTGAGGTACATGGATCCCTGGTCATGCTTTTATTTTGGGGTCATGTGCTTCGCACTTCTAGGTTGGAAGACGTGGTCGTTCTGGCAGAAAGGATCTCTGCTCGGTGCAGGGCACTTGGCACCCCCTTCCACTTCAACCTCCTCGCGTTCTTCTAAGTCTTCCTGAAACCGCTTGCCAAATCTGTCAAGACTTCTGCAACCAAACTGCATCTTAACCAGCGTTGTGCAGAAATACAACGTCATTTGACAAGAAGAGCCCTGTATTCAAAGACCCCAACACCTTTGATTTTCAGACCGAAAGGCTTAACAGAAAAAGATCCTCAAACTCAACCAGCCAGCCGCAAAACCGCTTGCGCCTTCTTTGCGAGACCGACCTCCTGCAATGTCAAAACGCGCAAGAGAAGAAAGCACGTAGCGATGGCCTCCAACCTACTAGCGATGGCCTGGTTCATTGGTTCCTGTGATCTTCTTCGGGTCTTCGGGTCTGCGCTTTACTGCGCGACAGCGGTTCCAGTGATGGAATGGATGGATCCTCAATAAAGTTGAGCCACTGCAGCCCGTGGATGGAAAAAACAAACAAACCCTGAGTAAGGCAATAGTCAGGCAGCAGCGCAGTGCAGTATGATCTTTGGGGTGTTTGAGCAAAGTCAATACGTGAGCAGCCTGACGATGGCCTGTTCTCAATTCTACCGTTTTGCCAAGAACCTCACGTCACTGGGAGGAGAATCCATGAGCAGTCGATCCACTTAGATGTTCGGCACCCCATACACAGTTATACACAACCGTCTTTTATCAGAGCACCTTTTAAACGAATATCAAGAGGAATGGAAGGAAAATCGATCCACCAGGTCGCATTGATACTTGTCGCCGCCTCCATGACCCGCAGGGCATTGACATCACTGCTTTGCTGTTCTTCTCCGCCATCCTGACCGGCTGGGAAGGCCAACATTCGCATCTACTTGGGACGTGGGAGAACATCTCCACAACACAGGGGGTCTAGGCAAAAAGGTGCACATGACGGGAGTCTACTTAAAGCTGCGTAGATCGCCTGTGGCTACATCCATCTGTGACATGCACTATGCAGAGGAGTCTTGCAAGCCATTGCTCGTTGAGGCCGCCTGGTTGAGCCTCCGACAAATGCGACCTGGCTGCATTTATCACAAAGAAGCACTTAGCCAGTCCTCACCACCGCATGTGCACTGCCAACCGAAGAGGCCTTGGCAGACAAAAATATACTGACACCTACACACATCACATACCTGTGCGCGTGTGACTGCTTCCAACAGGCACCCAAACACGCAAGGGCTATGCGTCGCTTCTCTGCAGCGTTTTGGGGCGGCCTGATCGGTCATCTACAAACTCTATCACACTGTCAGAATCAGTTGCAAGCACGGACCATTTGGCCGATTGGAAACTGTGTCTGGAAAAAAGATTCCAAGAATCTTGCAAAGATAGTTTTGATTGGTGAGCTTCCTCTGATAAGGCACATCTCAGTCTCCTTCCCCTTACCCGTGCCCAACGCTATGAGAACGCCGCGCTAAATGTTCTGCCAAGAAGCTCATCGTGCAGTTTGAAAGGACTCAAAGTAATGAATTTGAGCCACTCCGCAAGATGTAACACTCCACTCATGTAGGTCTTCAAGAACAGATTTTGTTGCTCCCTCTTGGTTTCTCAAATCGTCCACCAACTCCTGTCAGTATTGTTGTGTGGACGGCAAGTTCTGGCCGAGACTAGCAAAGGTCAATCGTTGATCCAAATCCACTCGAGACTCATCACGCCCCTCTTTTGCGATTGGCGCTCAGCTACACACCACGGCTACACACCCTGTGAAACCAAACTAGGTAGAACGTCGGAGAACGTCTGCATCACCTCCGGAAACTGGCTCTGATGGTTCAAACCTGAGGGCCTACGAGTTGTCTTTCGTGTACAGGGTGCGAATCTGGGTGCTTATGGGTGCTTGCATCCGAGCATGTTTGTTTGCATGGCTACACATGATTTGGCCTGAAACATGCCCGCATCCGTGGGTACCATACGGGGTCCCATCAAACCATTCGAGAAAACAAAACTCGAACTCCCATCGACTCCGTGAGACGTTTCTTGAGACGTTTCTCCAGTCTGTTCCGTCGGAAAGCAGGAACCCAACCCCACCAGCTCGTCGCCCAGCTCTTGCACCTTTGAGATCATGAAGATCATGCTGACTGCGCTGCCTCGGCTGCTTCGGTGTCCTGCAATTCAGGTCACGCTGGAGCCAAGAAGCACCGGCAGCTTGCGAAAGAGCGAGTGACGAAAGCACCTTCCAAAAGATATAAAGCGCATGAAAAAGAAATCGTGAACATGTAACAAGTCCTTGCGAGCGAAGAAATCCAAACAAATCCGACCAACTCTTCTGAACCAAAGTCCGAAATTTGCCCAATCGAAAAGAACAACGAAAAAATGTGTTTTAAGAAAGAATACAGGCAAACAAGCAGTCTCACGTGTCTCTTGGGTTCTAAGTGCTCTCCCAAAAATCATCAAACATCCAAGACCTCTTGAGTCCAACTTCTGAGAAAGACTCTCCCTCCAAAAACCTCCGTCAAAGCCTTGCGCCATGTTTATTTGGAGGCCATTGCTACTCGTAGTAGGTTGTAGGTTGGAGGCCATGGCTTTAAAAAAGTTTGGAAAAAAAGTCTCGAAAACGAAAGATTCTTCGCTCCGCGCCAAAGGCGGTCGAAAGTGGACGCCAAGACCTTTGCGAAAGCGTCGGCAATGGGTTCCGTTGGTGTCCTTGTAGATGAGGTAGGTCTTTCCACCGACCTCCTCGTAATCATGCTCTTCACCCTGGCGGGAGTGTTCCACATGAAGAGCAAAGAAGAGCTATCAAGGATCATAGAACCAAGCTTGGGTACAGCAGGGAAAAAGAGAAATGGGAACCATTCTCTAAAGGAAAAACAAAAATGAGCAAAGAAAATTAGCAAAAACAAAGGAAGAAAGGGCTCAAGAAAAAGTTGTTTTGTTACCAGTAGTAACGCCCTTGTTACTAGTAGCGATGCCATGCGATGCCCTTGCTCCTAGTAGCTTCTAGGAGAAATCTTCCAAGCTTCGGAACCTTCGAGGTCGTGAGCTTCGGGTCGCTTCGCTCGATGGCACCTGCGAACTCCTGCGGCACGGCGTCGCAGCCGTGACGCCGTGAGCTTCCCGGGTGAGGTCCGGAGGCACGGTGGAACGGTGAGCGAGGGCCTCCACCTCAAAAGGAATTAAATAGAATAGACAGGTAAACTGAGAAAAAAAACACCTAAGATGGATTGATTGTTGTCCACTAACGCGGCAGCACAATGATTGTGTCACCATCTCCACCCTTCGAGGATCAAGTCTTTGATCTGTCCCAGAACGACTTCATTCAAAAAAAGCACAAATCCAACCACGAAGCGAGAAACGTCTCCCTTCATGGAGTAGAACAGCATGTGTTCACCATCTGAAAACGCCCAACACCTCACGCGTTCTTCACAACGTTCGGTGACTTCCATGCTCACTTTCTTCTTGTTACTACTAGTAAGGCACTTGTTACTACTAGCGTGGCACTTTCCGTTCAATGTGGGAAGTCAACCGCGCGGCCCACTACGGCCCAGTGAGCGATGCTGCGCAGCTTCCAGCGGCGTGGCACCGAATGACACGCCCCAGCAGCGGAGCTCGTCCTTGAGAAGAGTCTCAAAGGCTGCCTCCGAAGTGGCCTCCGAGATCCAAGCAGCCGGTTTATGGTTCACGTGATTTCCACGTTTCGCGTGACCAGTCGTTGTTCTTCGTGTGAAGAAACCTCAACGTGCCGACCTCAAAACAGGAAACGGAAGAACAATGAAGAACATCTGTTCCTGACATGAAAAATGTCTCATCACACTCGGTCCAACGCCCCCCCTCGAAGGGGCACATTTCGACCCGCCACTCGGTCTTTTTGGGGCATGGCCTTCCGCCCCAGCCGTTCCATCACAATGGCATCCTGGGGCGCCCCACGGGCCGCGAAACTGACAACCAGGATGACCCATGGGAGTAGGACCCGGTAAAGCGTGAAAAAAAGCGATGCATAAAGAAAGGCATCCGATATCTGCGGATTTTGTGCCCTCGAAGTGGATAGACCCTTTGTCCAAGTACCTAGGTCATACCCTGTGTGTCCCTTCTCGTTTGCGATGTGGTCTTCGTTGGTCCGTGTAATTCAGGGTGGGTGATGAATGGTCAGAAATCCGCCAAGTCAGAGTCATACCTGGACCTAAACCATTCTGAACCACCAAACACCCTAGTTTAGTGTCAAGAACTACAGGAGCAAAGACTTCAAGTGCCTGTTTGGCCGGGATCCTTCACGCAAACTGGGACTTGGCGGAACAAACAACTGGGTCGATCAATCTTCGAAGGTCCTTGCAGGCGGAGCTGATCTGGGTAATCCCCTCACGGCTCGTGGCCTGGCACGGAAGAATCTGGAAGAACAGGCAGAGGTTTCTGTCAACCAATGCGCTACTTGTCAGCAATCTGAAAGTGAACGCATGCGCCAAATCCGAATTAATGGACTTGGCAATGTGCTCAATGTCCTTTGGACTGCATCCAAATGCACAAACTTTGTCCAAGAGTGTCATGCTGGACAACCCTTATCCAGTACAAAGTCCAAGAGGGTCTCTAAGGCTTCAAAGTACGTCGGTATCAAAAATGACTCATCGGAATGGCGGCTCGGCTCACGTGGTCTACAGTTTACCAGCCCCCCTGGCCCCTTGCATCGGTTCGATTGACATGTTCATCCCCCGACATCGCGCTTCACTACAAAAAAGTACTCCATGATGCTCCAGGTCTTCCCTTGAACATGCCAAGCTGCTTCCAAGGTATCAAGCTGCGACATAAAGTTCCCAAAGAGGTGGTAACCTGTGGGCCACATCAACAAAACAGAGATGTTGGCATCTTTGGCTACATGGTCTCTTCCACGAAGTGCTTCAGTATCAGTCAGGACATGTCAGGACCCCATGCTTCTCGTGGGCAAAATGGAGGAGCAGTGAGGTCGGCTCGACTCATTCGCGACTTGCGAGCGAGTCGACACAACATGTCGACCTTGGTAAAACACTTGGTCGTTGGGTGTGTATTAAAATAGCGAGGCATCTCAAATACCCCTGGAAGAAGGAAAATAGACAACATCCATGCCTCCCTCTTGGAATACACACCCAGTTTCATTCAGCAAAACAGAATTGCGAGAAGTCTTGGTCTTTCCGTGATCTTTGCTCTGCCGAGGAGTCGTCTCAAGTCTTGCACATGCCGCGCCGAATCGGCGGCACTTTCGGCAGCTTTCGAGTTGCCCGAAAAAAGGCCGTCTGCTCTCGTCTGCGCCAAGGTGCGTTGCATGCCCTTGCCAACCTGGAGGTAACGAAGGGGCCAACGGGCCAACGGCTGTCTCATTCCTCGGACCTACGTGGTTTGAACGGAACCAGAAACGAAGCCGCCCATCATCTTGACTGCCGAAATCTACTCTTCCCAGCGAATGGATACCCGTCTGTTTCCGTTGAAAAAAGGGTACGCATCTCAAAACACCCATCAACCACATCCTCTTGAGCTTCAACTCATCACCTCTTCCTGGAAACAGCTCCTGCGCAAAAGCGCCGCAAAACAACCGTCCGCGGTTGGTCGCCAGAGCCGGTGTGTTCGGTGTGTTCGGCTGGGTTTCGGCACCACGCCACCGACGCATTGGCCGTGGTGGACACCCACCCGACAGGTCACCTGGTGGCGAAACACGGTGCCCGCTGCGGTCTTTGAAGCTCTTTGTTTTTTCTCCCGTCAAAACAGGCAAAAAAGGGATGGATCATTGACATGCCTTTCTGATCTGTTTCAGAAGCACTAAGTATTGAAAGATCAATATGTTTTTTCAATATCATTCAATATCAAATCCAGTGTTGAATTCTGCCGGTGCAGGTGGACGCTCTTGGTTTGCAAACGCTTCTCTTTTTTAGTACCCCGGCGGCGTCCACAGGCATGCCAGGAAACCCTCCCACCAAGGGCAACACCTTCCCCTGAACCCCAAAATCCAAGAACTGCACAGCTCTTTGAAGCTATACACACCATACAATACTGCAAACCTGTGGTGCACAGCAAGCCTCTCTAATAGGAAATCATGGGAAAACGATTTCGTCAACGTGGGGCTTTCGGGTTCGCCCAAGTTGAGGGTTTCATAGCAAGCCTGCCCTCCGCGCAGAAAGGATGTTACGAAACCACAAGCAAATCACTTTCAGTGACGAGTCATTGGTGCTCAGAGTGCTCATGGGACACTCATCTTCGACTCCGGGATCGTAGCTTGTTGTTACTAGTAGCGATGCCCTTGTTACTAGGGCTAGTCAGCCATACTCGGGAAATGTCACGAACATTGTTTCTCCGTGGAAGTGCACTCCATCCGAGCACCTTTCAAGTTGCAGCGAAGCTGCAGTGAGACAACGTGAGAGTCGCAAACGACAGCACACGCCAGCCATATCTCCCAGGCATAAGCTGATAGCTGATCTTAACAGTTTGGAGCGATTGGGAGAGACCGAACATGCCAAGGCCAGGCCGAAAGGAAGCACGACCGATTGTCTGACGAGGCCGCTTCCAAGAGTTCCCTGCTTGGCACTCCACTAATGCTATCAATTGCACTGCCTCATTCTGGCACGTGGGTTTTCACCAATGAATAGGAAGACAAACAACGGTACTCGATGTGTGGCAAGCGGTTCAGAATGTCCTGACATAAGTCTGCGAAATCATCCAATGTGAAGGAGCTGCTTTTGTCTAAGCGCAACATGGACGACAATACAGCTGAATGAACACTGAGCTCAATCTCTTCCTGGTCACAAATCAAACCTGCTCCCCAGTCCTCCACTGCAACGGTCGTCTTCAAGTCTGCGCTGAAATAGTATAAGATCAACGAAAGCATCGGATTTTCTGACATTTGCACCTGGCATCTTCGACTCAGAAAGCTGAATAAGTCCACCAAACAGCGAGATCCATACAATGCCCTTGTTGGGTCTATCCTATGGCCAGGGCCTCAGTGGATGATGATGGTTAGTAAACGCCTTTCTCTAAAATAGTGATCAGTGATAAGTGTTGACTGACTGTTGCAGGTAATAGACCCAACCAATTCCTCCTTTGACAAACGGCATGGCAAACATCAAGCTCTGCCCCTGTCTTCACCGAGTCGCACGACGGAAAAAAAGGGCGATGTTCCAAAAAAAAACAGACATTCACATCCGTCCGTCCATCCTGTCCACATTCCACATCCGAAACAGCCCTGCCATGATCTCCAGGTTATCATCCTCCGTGAGGTCTGCCGCCGCGATCGGCAAGGTGGTGGACCAATGAAGTCGCACGTTCTCGGGGAAGCAAATGAACACGGGCTTCTCGTGGAAGACGCTTTGGCCATTGTAAACCACCTGCCAGTGCAGAAGATGCTGAAAATGCCACAGAGTCTTTGGCCCAGCTGGTTTCACATGCTCCTGAAACCGGGTAAAACCCCATCAACAGGTCCTTGCAAGTCAATCCTAAAGCGTGGCAAAAACCGGTAGAGAGCCGCCACGCTCGAAACCAACCGTCCGCGCCTGCCAGGCAAACATCGCCGCCGGAAAGCGATGAATGCACTTCGCCAACTCCTCGAGCCGACGCGCTCCGGTCTGCGCCGACCAACGCGTGAAACTCAGCGCGTCGGTGAAACTCAGGCGGGCGAGTCGGAGGCCATAGCTCTTAGGGGGAGGCCATTGCTTTTAGAGGTGAGAGGCCCATCACTAGGTTGGCGGCCATCGCTCTTGATGGACACTCTCATTTGGGTGCGTTAACAAGACAACGAAGCACCTTTATCTTAGTGGGGCTCCTCGTTCGGCTTGGCCAGTTCATAGACCAAGCGCAACTTGCCCTCAGCGCCGTAGTCCAAACGTATACACCAATCAAAGTACTTGCCCTCCACGATCCTGGAGGAAGCGCGGAGTCCGTCGCTTCTAGGTCGGAGGCCATCCCCATTGGAGGCCATGGCCGCTCGGACGGAGTCTACACCAGGAGGCCTGGGGGCCTGGGGGGCCACAGCAGTCTCAATGTATGTACCGTGCATGGTTGCCTTGTTCGGATCGTGCGACTGCAAGGCCCACTTGTATTAGCAACAGTCGCAAAACCTGACGAAATCCGACGTTTTGCTTCAAGCAAATCCCACGATTCGGGAGAAGCCACCGAGGTCTCACCCGTCATTGTGATTCTGTGCCCATGTGGCGCTGTCAGAACAGCTGATTCCACCAAATACTTCTTCACAGGAATGGAACACATCCCGATAGATATGACTTGTTAGGCACCTTGACTTAAGATCTATGTGTGTTTGGCAAATCCCTGGGCAGTTCATCCCAAAAAGGCAAGCATCGGACGAATGCAATTCATGCCTATCAGTTCTTAGACTCTCAACTTTTGGGTCCCGCGGCACTCCAGAACTGAAGCTTCGGCATCTCCGACCCGCGAGCGACTCGGTCGACTCCAGCGGACCACGAGAGGACCCACAACGGCGGGCCGCGGCGCCGGTGACCGCGGTCCTGGCAGGTCCGCTGTCCATCGCTGCACGCACACCTTGGATTTCCCAAGAGTGTACACGGTCGGCCTCTGGCTCCTCACGGGGAGAAGGGCGGCTGCGTTCCACGACGGGCCGGGTGATGAGACCATGCGAACTTCAGAAGTGGTCCGCGTTCCTTTGTTTCCTCTGTCCAACCATTCAGCCGTTGTTTCAATGAGACCATGCGACCTCCTAGACGATGGTGATTCCACGTTGTGCAAATGAGGCAACTCCAGGCAACTCCCCCTCTGGCCGACAGGATTTGGGAACACCTCCGGAGGTCCTCTGCCGACCGCAGCATTGTGAAGTCTTTGCCACCCCACTCCCAACCTTTCCTCACCGTCGGCCATGTGTCGATGACGGATTCTGAGACGATATGTTTTTTCATGAAGCACAATATGCTTTTTTCCTGCTTGGATCTGATACAAAAGAAGAACAATATACTAGCAAGGACGCTATTAGGTGGAGGCCATCGCAAGTAGGTTCGAGGCCATCGCTACTAGGAACAAGAAGCTACTAGCGGTCTTTGAAGCTTCTTAGTAACCCCGTAACCCCTTACTACTAGTGGTGTTTCCTTGGGAATCGTTTCACCTCGAATCTCAAGAGGTGTGACATCGAAACCAGCTGCAGAATGCTTATCCAGGCTTCGTTTCTCTCAGAAGATCACAAGTGGAGTCGATCCCGGTATGACTCAAGCAGTACCTCCCGGTTCGGGCGTCTGTTTTCCACCGGGTCTAGGCCTGTTCCACGTGTTTCAAACACTGTGTTCTTGGCAAAGGGAAATGAGATTCCCAGGCTCTGAGAAAGCAATGCAGCTTGAGGCCATCACTAGTAGGTTGGAGGCCATCGCTAGTAGGATAGAGGCCATCGCTAGTAGGTTAGAGGCCATCAGTAGTAGGTTGAGGTTGGAGGCCATTTAGGTTCCTTTTGCTATTACGTTGGAGGCCATCGCTAACTCTGTGGGCACTTCACCACCAAATCGGCGTCATGTTCTGTGCAGACGTGGTGGCAAGCATACCTTGGCAGCAGTATGGACCCTCACTGACTGTTGACAACTGATCCAGACCAACAGGGTCCAACACATATATAATATCATATAGTCCACTGCCACCATGGCACTGAAGTACAGTAGTCAAGAGATGAGCTGGGACTTTGAGTAAATACTCCCTGCGATTCTTCACCATGGACATGAAGTGCTCACCCGTGAACTTGCATGTGGCATCCTGGCTCTCCGCGGCAAGTCGTCTTGACACAACTGGATCCAAATGCGACGAAACATGCGAGTTTTTCAACGACTCCTGAGTTTTCTCAAAGGCTCTTTTCACCACCACCCGTCAGTGGCTTTGAGAAAACCCGGTGAAACACGGGGAAAACCTGGTTCCACGGATTTAAGAGATGGTTCACACGGTTCCGTTCCGGTTTCCGCCTCGAAGTCCGGGTACTTCCGCAAGACTTCGTGATTCAAGACGTCGATGCAATTGCTCTCGTCCAAGCCAGCCAACATCACCGGGCGGAGGTCATCTTGATGAATTGATTTCACCTGGGTGTCCCGATGTCGCGCGAGGTGATGTGATGGATTGAGGTTGGATTTACAAACATGTTTGAGGTATTTGCAATTCTTCACCCACAATGTTTGACAGCTCAAAGTCCTGCCTCCACGTCATCTGCCAAGCCCAACAAATCCAAGGCGTCCAAAGAAGTCAAGCTCTCTGTTGGAAGCCCACCGAAGTACAAGAAACGGACCATGGCATGGACCACATTGTACTTATGGTCCAACTGCACCTGACACAGTGTGACACGGGACGACACGAAATAATTACCGAGGCTAGGAACCAACGTCTACTCCTTGCTGCTCAGCATGAACACGTCTTTTGACTCATGTAAACCAAGTTAAACAAATACACAAAAAAATAGAAGCTTTGGTACTAGGAGCAAGTACGCTACTAGGAACAAGAAGCTTCAGTAGGTTGGAGGCCATCGCTAGTAAGGTTGGAGCTCTTGCAGCCAACTCCTTCGCAGTGGTTTCCTTCTTTCGGTCGAGTGGGTCTGAGGGACCCCACGCTGTTGTGGCCAGGATTTTGACTGAACTGCTGGGCGAAGAAGGGCGAATGCGCGGCCAAAACAGCTTTGTGTGCAGCAATCTCTCGGCTTTCAGCCTACGGAAACAGCAATCTCTCGGTGTGAGAGTGCAGGTCAAGTATCCCAAGAGGCAGCTCCGCGTGAAAAGTTGCATCTATTCTCTCTCCCTCTCTACCCCTGGTTTCTCGAAGCACATTCCTAGAGGAAAAGCTTCTTGCCTGGATGAAGACATCTGCCAAGACGTTAGTCTCAAATAACTTCAGCAAGTTGAGCTGAAGACCTCAATGCTACTTGGGCAGCACGGCTCTTCTTCTCTTCTCTTGGAGAAATGGCTTGAAGCACAAGAAATGCCTGAGATAGATGTTTCGAACGAAAAGGCATGAAATAAAATCGGTCATGTCCAAAATATATCGTGTTATATAGGTTTTTCTTAATAATATACGATATATCAGATACGAGGATGGATTTCACGGCGCCTTCCGCAGATTTCAGATCCATGGCAATTTCACGGAGCTACGCTACGAAAGACGCGTCAACCCACTCCGGCCGTCCACTTCGGAACTTCGAGCCGTCCACTTTGAGGTGCCAAGCAGAGGTCTGCAGAGGTCTACACACGTCTGTCGTTTGTCCCAAAAGCATTCCCAGAAAACCTCTGTTGATGCAATTCATGGCGATCAATGGACCCCCGGACCCTGGATCACAGTTCACCGCTGCACCTGGACACCCAGGTTCTCAGCCCAGCGAGCTGTGGCCTGGGCGACGGTTCGATCTTGTCCGAATGGACGCTTCGATAAGGGAAGTTGATGACATAGAAGAGCACAGTAGCCGGCCTCAATCATTGCCATTCCAAACTTCACGACCTGTGCGTGGAAACTGTGGATCAAATCAAATCAGACCGTGTCAGTTGCCCCTGACAAGCCAGCCATATCCACGCTTCAGGATGAAAGAACTTCACTTGAGCTTTCTCTCAAAATGCTCCGCACAAGAGATGAGCCCTTCTACTTTTTTGCCAAGTATAATCTGGACACTACATATAAACGTCCATCTGGTGCAACTGACATTTTCAGTTTTCTCCACCAGACTATAAGCTTATGGACATACATGAGAAGGGACACCCCAGAATCAACTAACTTGATTGAATGATATCTAGGAGTTGTCCAAATCAAAGAATTTGCAACTTCATCTGCCTTTGCTGCATCTGTGTTGTGTGGCGTGTCTCGACATCTTTCAAGATTCAAGCCTCAATGGGGGACTGCTTTGCTGTCAGGGGTGGCTCAGCCATGCCTGTGCCAGGAGCCCGCAAAGCGCGCACACGACGTCAGGGTTGCAGACTTCATTTTGAAGATTAAGAATGGTTGAGAGCCGAAAGTCTAAAGTTGGGGTAATTGGATTGGATGAATTATGTCATCCACCCAAATCAGAGTGAAAAAGGAACCAAGCCCAACTTCCAAACTCAATCTGTTGCGCTCCATTGTTGAGGGGCATCGGACATCTTGGGACTATATACTGTAGATATGATATATATATATATATGTATATATACAACCTAATGGCAAGAGGAACCACAAGCCATGGCCTCCAACCTACTAGCGATGGCTTCCATCCTCGTAGCGGTGGCCTCCAACCGTTTGGGACATCTTGGGACTGTTAGCCACATCGGCCCTCACACCTGCAATGTATGCATCTCCCACCGTCTCAACCTGCTGTGTGCACCGGCTTCGAATCGACACGATGGTCGTCTTCAGCAGAGTAAGGCACTTGTTACTAGTAGCGATGCACTTGTTCCTAGTAGCTTCCTAATCTGTTTTCAGTGCAAAGATATCTCCAGTTGACGCTCTTAATCCAACTTCAGCAGTTTGGAACCGGTAGTGTTTCAACTCTGCCTTGTAGACGTTGAATCTGTCCGTGAGGATATCAAACCTTTCAAGAACTCACCAATTCACTGGTTGGTCGAAAAAGGGCTCGTAAAGAAAACGGAAGAAAGCCGTGTTCAATGTGTATGAGGGTGTCAAATTGACGAAGAAATGAATTGACGACAAAAGTCGTTGGAGATTTGCGCCTCCCAAACAAATCCTTCACGAATTCTACCACTTCCTCTGGCGTCCTGCAGGATGGAGGCTGGAGTGCCCTCTGATCATCTTCCAGGGCACTCCAGATGAAGAGAACAAACGAAGCTCGCAGAGGAGGAAGCTTGTAGCATTTTCACGCTACTAGGGGCTCCTGGCCTTACTACAAGGAGCAAGAAGCTACTAGGGGCTCCAGGCATCGCTACTAGGAAGAAGGAAGCTCCGTCATGTTCACCTGCTCCGCTGTCCGGTGCATGCCCGGCCTATCGGAGGCCAGCTGAGTGAAGCCGCATAAGTCGGATTGGGCAATGGTGGCTTGATGGTACGAGTGACTTCTGCCTGGACCTTGGAGGGACAAGTGCCTCTCCCTCGCGCATGCACAAAGTGCGTTAGGTGAAAACAAGTGAAAACTCCATCATCGACTCTACTTACCAGACATCATCAACAAAAGTGGGTTTGTCAAGGCGAACATCCCTGGCGATAGAAACACCTGGAGCTGCTAGAACTGCTGTCGTGCGCTGCTCAGCTGCAGTCAAGGATCTCGTTTTGATTTCCTCCAGCACTTGCGTTGGCATCAAGCTCGTCAGCACCTCAGTTCATCCTTCATTCCAGCATGGCAACAGGGGCAAGGGTATGGCTGTGAGTGAGCAAAACCGCGAAATGGCATGTACATACAAATCATACAAGGATGTTGACCCTTCCCAAATGACCCAATTCAAAAGAATTTAACTCACTTTTGGTGAGGCAATGTGATACACTCAATCTCGCCAAGCTACTGTTTCGATGGTATCCTGCCGGAGAAGCGTTCGGAAGTTTCCCTGTTGGTCTCCCAAGTATATCTTCTTGTTCCTAGTAGCTTCTTGCTCCTGGTAGCGATGCCCTTTGCTCCTAGTAGCGATGCCCTTGTTACTAGTAGCTTCTTGTTACTATCATATCGTTTGACTCCGCTCGCTAAAATCACATCAAATGATACTTCCGCACTTTGTGGAAGTGAAGCGCGCATAGCTTGTAGGAAGCTACTAGGGGCTCCTGGCCTTCCTACTAGGAGCAAGGACCCTACTAGGGGCTCCTGGCCTCGCTACGAACGGAGCAAGGACGCTAGTCCTGTGTGGCTTCCACACGCTGCTTGGCCTTGAAGCGTGCTCGGCTTGTTTGCTCCAATAAGTGCGCCAGCAAGCCTGCGTGTCGGCAGACAGAAAGGGTGGAGAGTCATGTGCTTCGTGCGCTTCGACAGAAAGTGACTTTGCTGCAACGGGCAGACTTTCGATCCGAATCTGCGCCATACCCCGTTCAAATACCGAGGAACAGCTGATCAAGACGGTGCAAAGGAAAATAACTCGACCTAAGCAAAAAGTCAAACAACGATCTTCAATAGAACAACTAAATGTATCATGTAGTCCACTTTATACCTTTGTGGGCTTGATGTCTTTTTAGTTCGCTGGCTGGATCTGTCTCAGCCTCCCCGGAACTTTAGAACAGTCCAGTCTGAGCAATCATCTGCAGTTGAGGTTCCAATGTTGGAGATGTAGAGACCAGTTCTGTCACGGATGCCCATGAAGATCAGCCCAGCAGGGATGTACACCAAAGACTGATAGAAAAGTGTTGGATGTGTATTGGTCACCTCGGAACGCAAAAAAATAACATCTTCAAGCAAGTCAACCAAGCCTCTTTGCGCCCTTGGGCGATCTGCTGCAGATGAGAAATTAGCCAAGAAAAAGAAACAACAAGGAAACTCCCACAAAAGAAGCGAATAAATGCAGCGTGGGCATAGATGTACCCTAGGAACTGCAATCCCATGGTCTTCAACTCGTCTGGGTTTGCACCTCTTTTGACTCCCAGTCATGGCAGTCAACATGTTTCAAGCGTCCAAGTCACAATGAAGTACGCAAGGACGAAAATCAAGGATTGCCTGAGATTGAGGCATGGAGGATTGGCCAATGCAGAAAGGGAGATATCGGCGGATAAGAACCACAAAGTGAAGAGAATGTATATATATATATATTATGAAATGAATCGTTGGCGAGGTCTTTGCAGAGACCCTCGAGCCAAACTAACGAATGCACATGGGTAGATGACACTAGCTAGTCAGCTAGTCTCTAAAAATGCATGGGAATCCTTCCAACTGTAGCCAGGAGTCTGTTGGTTCAAATAGTCCAAGAAGTGCATCTCAGTGTACCTGGAGGCTATCGCAAGATCGTGTAAGGTTCAATGAGTTATTGCCTTGTGGCGAGAAAGTTGCCTCATCTCATATCACCTGAACACATGAAGTAACTTTCTGGAGAAGCAGCCTTTCTCAGTGTCTCCTTGACAGTTCTTCTCCGGGCACGGTTTGTCGATCTGAGGGAAAATCATGGCATCGTAGGAAACGAACATCAACGTCGCCACAATGACATTTGAGGCCACCAAGCCCCACTGAACCTGTGACAGCAAATCGACGTTTTCACATCTTTGCCAAGGACTGTTGGAAGGAATTCTACCTACAAACCAAAGAGTTATGTGAAAAGGAAATGAATAAAGGCTGAAGGAAAGATTCCTTACTTTACTTCCTTCTTGATGTTGTCTTCCCACATCTTGACCCATGTGCAAGCTTGTGCAAAAGGCTTGGCCTCCTGAACCTTCTCTCGAAAGGCTTCAGTCCTGAGTACGAAGGCTTGAATGCAAATGAGGCCTTCTTCAACAACCCTACAGTCAGTTATATATTTGATTGTTGTTGTTGTTGTCTTTTTTTGAAACCGTTACACTCTTTGGTCCTTTCTTTCTTCCTTCCTCGGCTATAAGCCTGGTTCCCAGCCTTGCGAAGAAGGACCAGGCCACGCCAACAGCCAAACACAAGCAACGACAAAGCAGCAGCCCCATAAAGCGTTCTGAGCGTGGTGGGCGTGGTGCGGAAAGCGTAAGCGTCGTTTCGCTCGAAAGTGTCTTCCAATCAATGCACATCCATATCACACAGGCATGTTTCTGCAGCATGTCGAACTAAACGAAAAAACAAGAAGCTACTAGTAACAAAGGGCATCGCTACTAGGAGCTCCAGGCCTTGCTACGAACGGAACAAAGGAAGCTACGAACGGAGCAAAGGCCATCGCTACTAGTAACGATAAAGCTTTTTCGTATGTCTTTGAAGATATTGTAATCAGATTATGAGCAATCTGATCTTTTCGCCCCGGCACGATCAGGGAACGGTGGCAAAAGGCCCGGGTTCTTGTCCTTCACTGGTTCATTCTCTCCCTCTCTCTCTCTCAAATGTGATCAATCCTTGCGTCATCTGGCAGTAAAAGCCAGTTGCAAAGCAGGTACATGTTGCCTGGGGTCTCTTTGATGGATCTATATGGAGCTACCCTTTGTCCTTGGAAAATCCATCTGCACACCGGCTTTGGATTGCTTCGCCATGTCCCCTTGGCCCTTGTCCTGTTTCTCCCACGCTTGGGCATGCTCCATGTGGATCAAATCGCAGACCGTCATAAATGCCTGAGAAAGCAGGCCACAGGCATCGCGAGTGAGCAATGTGCATACACTGTTTTCATGTTCACATTGCACATCATGGACTGCAAGTGTGGGGACTGAACATGAAATGAACATGATCACAACGGCTCGTGGAACCACAGATAAATGACATGAAGAAGGCACACCCTTGTCTTTCAAGCTGCCATGAGCAAGAGCTGGCGATGCAGCCGCAAGCGAAACTTGCGCACAAAGCCCATGTGGAACCACATCTGGAATGTTGCCTCACATTTCCCCAAGACAGTTCATCGTTTCACCTAGTACAGTATGAAGGCTCAAAAGCTGAAGATGCTAAAGCAGCTAAAGGCTTCTTCGTGTTGGAGAGGCACTTCGCAATGGTTCCGGCTTCACAGAACAGACGTCAACACTTGTGGTTTTCTTGTAGGATGTCTCTCGAGAACTTCCCCCACCACTTTGTAATTACAATTCTAATTACATTCTTATTGTTACTACTAGTAAGGCACTTGTTACTACTAGTAAGGCACTTGTTTCTAGTAGCTTCTTGTTACTACTAGTAAGGCACCTGTTACTAGTAGCGATGCACTTGTCGAGCCTGAGAGTTATTTTGAGCAACCCATCCACTAGTGGCGATAGGTTCAAACTCGCGCCTCCGAGAACATGTGCTTTTTCCGTTGGAGCTCTTCCTCCGTCGTGAAGTCTGCCTGCACTCTGCAACAGCCACACAAGCGCCAAAGGCTCAAATAAGAATGATAGAGGAAGATATTGATGGATCTTAGTTAATTCTTGTTGGTTTGTCTCACAACGGAGACACCAATTCCAGATCGCCTTCTCTGAGAGGATGAAGGGCAACAATTGCCGCGGCACGTGGTTCCCTCCAGCCACGTGGCGCATCACTTTGTCCACTTCGTGTTTCACCTCCATCTCCTCGCGTCTCACATCGAGCTAAAACCACAAAAGAGCTAAAACCAGATCTGGACGTCACGGAAAGATCAAGACGTTCGTGAAGAGCGGGGGTTTTCTTCTTTTTGTTGGCTGCGAGTGATTCTAGTGTTCTTGGTGATGTCCAGGTCTTACCAAGAAAAGGCCAAGTCACCATGGGCATCCCAAAAACCACCTCCCCTTCTCAGTTACCCAAGAAGCCTCCAATCAACCTAACATTGGCAAGATCACTCTATGTCTAGAGTCTAGAGTTCCAGCAACTCATGTTCCAACTGCTTACAGAAGAAGCAGGAACAGAACAGTTTCTCCACTCCAAAAAGCAAAAACTCCAGCTCTGTCTTCGATTCCCACGAAGAACATCGAAGCAGGAGACACACTCCGAAAAAAACAACTGAAGCCTGCGTCGTCTACGTTCACAACGCCATTTACTACCCGAGAAATACACCAAAATGCAAGCTCCAAAGAAACCACCGTGAACACGACAAACGAAGCACACATATATGTTGCACGGAAAGGATAAAACAAAGAGAGATATACACTAGAACGAACAAACGCTAGTAGGTTGGAGGCCATCGTTACTAGGGTGGAGGGCCATACACTAGAACAAACGAAGTATCTGCGCAAAGGCGCGTCCTTGGGCTTCTCAGGGCCTTCTCTGGTTGAAGTAGCCGTGGAGCCACCAGTCGTGAAGTTTGCGGCATCAAAAAGGAAGACTTTCACCTCAGCTCTTCCAGGTTCTTCACTTCAGCTGTTCTGCGTGAAAAAAGATTCAGGGAGACAGACACCGAAACCTTAAAGGGTCCAATCAGTCTGGTCTGCCTTCACTGTCGGCAAAGCGGTCCAAGAGTGGAAGGATGTGAAAGCGCCAAGTCACATCTCCCTTGCCTTTCATCTTGACAGTGTCGCCGCCTTCCTGCCAAAACGGGCTTCACCCGTTGTTCTCTGTCGCTCAACACAGCACACTGCAAATCCCAAAAGACCTCACGGCCACATCATAACCACCCTAGTCACTCCTCAGCAACAACCGAATCGTCGAGAAAACGCACGAAACGTCTCGAGGAAACGCGTCGAGAAAACGCTCTCCTTATTTCGATAGGCCTTGGAGGCGGCCTTCAATGTGTCCGGCAGCAAGTCGTTGGTCTGTTCTCCAAACATCAACTCCCCAGGCTCAGCCTTCTGCATCATCCTGCGAACGGACGGAAACGCGTTCATCTCAGAAACCGGACATACGCGGACGATCGGCTCAGAAAATTGATTGGGACTTGATGAAAACTGCCCGCATTATTTGAACGTGTTAGACTTGAACTGCATGACACTGACGACGTGATTCATGATGCCCTAATTAAGGTCATTTCTGGTCATTGTCATGTATCTCATTGGCCGGCACTCCCAAACTCTGATGTCAAAGGCTTGCACTTTGCCAAGCTGCTAAAGCATTGCAATCTGTTTGTATGAAGCGATTTGACTTAGCCTCCAATATCATTTGCTCTTAGGTTCGAGGCCATCGCTATTAGAAACAAAGAAAAGGAAGAAAGAGCAAAAAGGTCTATATCCATTTCCGTTGCTTGCTCTCGACTCCGTTGCTCCTCGCCGAGGTGTTGATGGTGTCTCCAAAAAGTCGGAAGCGCGGCAGCTTTCGGCCGATGACCCCCGCACGGATCGCGCCAGTGTGCATGCCCATCTTGAACTTCTTCTGTCAACACAAAGAGGTCCGTTCTGTCTTCGAACCGCAAAATGCACAGAAGATCAAACTGCAAAAGAAAGAAGAACAAAAACAACGAACTCAAATGGAGAGCCACACACAAATGGAGCCACGCCTGTGCAGTGTCTTGGAGCTTTTGGATCTCATAGGCCGCACTGAAGAGTCGCAGCAACAAGCTTTGGTGATGCTTCACCGGATCGGAGGTGTCCGTCGGCAGGTCTTCAGGAAGAACACCCACGCAGGCCACGTATTCCTCCGCCACGGTCTCGATCTTCGTGACCTGCCGGAGAGACGTCCAAACCGTTGCGTCGCCTATGCAATGAGACTACAACCTGTGGGCCGATGACTGAGCCGGTCTAGTGTTGATGACTTAAGTTTGTTCGAGAAAACCTTGCAGTGACCCAAAAGCAAGCAACGAAGGTGTTGGAGCTGAGTAATAAACATTTGGATCCATGGATTGAGACATGCTTGCGCTTTTGGGGCTTGAGACATATAGCACCTTGTGAGCTGCGCAAATATCATCCATCTTTCCAAAATACCTGGCACCAGGCAAAAAAGGCAAGGACGGCTCGCAACAATGTGCAAAGTAAGCTTTTGCTGGTGGATCCTGTTACAAGAGGATGACAGTGGAAAGTTCCTTATATAACTGTTGTAAACTTTTTTGTGCCAAGGTACTCGTTGAGGAAAGTCAGCGCCGCATTCGCATCACTCACGTGAAAGTCATGAATTAAAACGAAAAGGATGGTGACCTCAGAGACTCGTCAAGTGAAATGGACAGGGCTGATCTCAACTTACTAGCGGCGCCTCCAACCTACTACTGGCGATCAAAGACTTGGGCACTCAAACGGACTTGCTCCATGCTCGGACCGAGAACGCTCGGACCCCGCCCTTGGTGCCCTGCCCGCTCTCGGTAGTCACAAATTGGCTCCTGATGCGCAAAGGAATTCAGGAACGGATAGAAATAGCAGGAAACAAATCGAATCGCGTCCAGCTCTCCACTCCTGTGTGAGCATTCGCGGAATGACATATTTGGGCACCTGAGCGCAGTGAAAGCCCATCCCGAAGGTGATCCCCTGATGCCTACCTAGTAGGCTTCCTCCGAAGATTGTGACTCCGTAGGCTTTGGAAAGAGATGCTGTACACTGGGTCTTACAGAATTTCTGCACTGGGTCTTGCAGCCATGCCATCGAAGATGCTGTACAGGCGTTCAAGAGCCTGTACAAGGGACAGAAGCTCGCACGTGGCTGTCAGAAACGACACCCAAAATCATGGAACTGCACAGTTTTGCTCAAATCCCCATAGCGTTCGAGAGTTGGATCGTCACAATCGACCCGTTTTCGATGGCCTTCCGCTGCTCATTGTCCTCCAAGAATTGCCGCCGCATGCCCTGAAGAGTATGCAAGCAGTTCAAGGATCACAGAAGACACGTGGCCAATTCAACGTCAACATTACAACTGTTGTGATGCTGCAAAAGGATCTCATGATCAGTTCTTTCTCAATTTGATTCGGTACGGAAGAATTATTCATGTCTCAAGATTACTCGGAAAGCTAGGGTAACAAGAACTGATGCTTTGGAGGCAAATCGTCGCAAGCAAGAAATCGCTAGTCCAAAAGCCAAGCCTGACCGCCTACGGCCTACGGATGACTACGGATGCCCACAGGGTGGGCCAGTTCAATCCGGGAAAGCTTCACCAAAGCGGTTGAAGATCAATGAAAAGGCTCAGAGAAAGGTCTTCACACGCTGGAGGTCCGAACTGATCCAAGCACAAATTCACAAGTTGCCCAGAGAGCCTTCTCCAGGTAGTACTTCCTTGACATCGCTTTTTGGCGCAGAATCAGCGTTCAAAACGAGAAGAAAACCGAGCTCATTGTCTAAATACCGAGAAGGCGCTTCTCATGATGCTGTGTCATAACTTAAACGCTCAGATTTGATGGGGATAGTTTGCCCTTTTCTTCTAGTAAAGACCAAGCGACTTCATTGTTCCCAAGGCTGCTGTCACAATCTCAGTTCCAGAGGAGAGTGAAGCAACAACTCTCACAGTGTCTCAAAAGCACAAACTGAAAAAGAAAACAACAACAGTGTCAGTCAAGGCACCAGCATGCAGGAATGCAAAGGCACGTCAACCATATGGGTCGATTCGTCTGTGACTTCTGCGTAGAGCCAACTGAAGCCCACATATAGAAACACCTGGCCGTTTGAGCTAAACAATGACTCCCATGGAGCAAAGGCTCGACTCCCGACTCCCCTGGCGTAAAGGGAGCCAGCTACGCCAGCCAAATGAAGGTAAAGTGCCAACATCGAAACTGTGGCAAGCTGTAGGGCCTCGGGTGCCAAAGCTTTACTCATGCCAACATGCAGACGTGAGAAAGTTGGGAGACGAAGGAGATGCCGAGGCCCTGCAGATGCGGACATCACATGTCTTGCGTCACACTTGGAGCTCTAAGTTGAGCACATGATGAGCATCCACAGTTGAAACATCTGACAAGCAGTGTGTCCTGGCAGCGGTAAGAGGATGCAAGAGAAGCGTCACACTTCAGACTGAAGGCGACCTTTCAGTAACCAGGGATGCAACAGAAAAATTGCACAAGAAGAATTTAACTACCTTGACAAGCCCCTGACACCCCTTTTGGATCTTCACTGAAGAATACTACCCGATAAAGGGAGATGCTCAAACAGTATATATGTTGGTTTGAGGACGCTGAACAGATCTGTAGAACGGATCGAGATGAATCTGTTCATGTTGAGGGCTCCCTAACGGTGCTCTCACGGTCTTAAGATCCTAACTAAACCACTGACATAGCAAACAAACACAATGGCTACAGAACCCAGAATGGAGAGTAAATTGCAGAAAGAATGCTGCAGAGTTGTATGGGGAGTTTGCAACAAGGCAGCGTCGTGATTCTGGATCAGGGAACGTATGCAGGCAAAACAAAATGCTAAAGCACTATTGTCTAACTACGCAGATTCCTAAATCGGCACAAAAAATGTAGGTGAACACCCAGAAAAATGCTCCGCTATCCGTCAGTGTGCAAAGTAACCTGTGCCTTGCAGTGTGCAATCCATCTTCTTGTTCGCCAACCCAAGGGCTGGGTCACTGCACATCTGCGAACGTGGCAAAGGATGTTTTCGGATCCCAAAGGGCCAGGGGCGGCCAGGGGCGGCCAGGGGCTGACACAAACTGATGCAGTCATTGCAGTCATATGAGGTAATGGGGTTTTATCATGTTTTATCCATATATGTGCATCTCCTTCTCTTTTCTCAGTCAATTCTTGTTAGCTCCCGACAGCTTCTCACTTCGAAAACAAGCTGTGCTCGAGAACAGCTAGCAAAGCCTCTCCAGTTGCCATCAACGCCAGCATTTCGCAGGATGGATTAAAGGGTGGTACGTTGACCGCCTTGGATTTGGCATAGAGGGAACTGTTCTTTCCCAGATCGAGACGCATGGGCTGTGGATCAGGTAGCAAACGCAAGGCCAGGCGGTAATCAGGGCGACGTCCAGACTGCTGGCATACGAGACAGGCAGGACCGCTTGCAAACCGTCTCTTGCAAAAGCTCATCTGGGCAGCCGGACAAGGAAGAAAAGAGAGAAGAAGCCTGCGACTGCATTCGGACCCAAAGCTCCAAGCCGCAGAAATAAGAATGCAGATATATATATATATATGTACAGGAGCAAGGACGCTACTAGTAGCTTCTGGCCCTACTACTAGGAACAAGAAGCTACTAGTAACAAAGGGCATCGCTACTAGAAGCAAGGAAGAATGCTTTTCAATTGCGCTGAAAGACGGGAAATGGTAAGGTCAAAGAAGGTGAGGTGAAAACATGACATGGAACCCGGATTTCTCGCTGCAGCTCTGGGAACCGGTTTCTGTGGCTCAAACGCTGGAGCGTCGCTGGAGTTTGCCCAAAAGAACGATCCCTTATGCTGATCCCGCAAGGCTCGGCCTATCACCAGCCAATATGCGAGGTCCCAAAGCATCTTGCTTCTCTCGCCAAGCTCAACTCCAGCTCCCTCCATTGCTGGCACCATGAATAAGAAGGCAAACACCTAAGACCAAATCGCTTCAGGTGCATCGAAAGCAAGCAATCAAACCGGCACATCAGGCTGTATGAGACCATCGGAGCTGGTCGCAAGACAGAATAAAAGAAACACACTCATGTCGTATCGCAAAGATCACGCCTCGCCTTCGCCAATACAATCATGGCTACTATCTGCAAGAGCTGGAATATCCGCCATTGGTCCCCTGGCTCTGCCCGAAGTTTACGGGGTACCCCGGCAACTTGGCATCAACAACTGACCCCCACACAGGATGGGCCTTTCACTTAGCTTGATACTAGAGTGTGTCTGACTGGTGTTGTTTCACAGCAGTCGGAATGTATTCCATTCTAATCCAAGGACCGCAGAGATGAAGAGTGAAGAAACCTTTCCAGACCCAGTCCACGAATGAATGTTGGGTGCGTTTCCTCTCTCACCAAGTCTTTTCCCCACAAAATCGTTCAATTGTTCGACAGTTGTCGTAAGCAAATGCCTTGTACCCACAGAGCTGACTGCTGATCCACGGATCCTGCTGACCGCGCCGCGAGGACGGGAGACGTCCGTTCCGCACGTGCCGCGAGTTCCGCGCCTTTGCAGCTTCGGAGCTCCCAGAAGGCGTAGAAGCGGTCGAAGATCATGCCGCAGGCCACCAGGGCCAACAGCACCGCCCCGCGCTGCACATTTCGAAAATAGCTCTCCTCAGGATGGAGCGAAACGCACCAGGTAGGCACATAGGTTGAACCATCTACGAAGCTATCGGCAGTATCAAAACGCCAAGGAAAATGATTGAAAAGAGCGATTAGTTAGATTAGATTGAGAGCTGAAGACAGGAGGAAAGGAGAGTAAGAAAGGCAAACACCTAGGCATGAAAGCACACTCGCTTTGCAATCGAAGAAAGCCAAACCTTCTCCCACTCCCATTGAATCACCGGCCTTCTCCCACTCCTGTTCAAGCTCCTCACAAGAATGACAAGAATCAACTTCAGATCCATCTGAATCTATCTTCGCCAAAATGAAACGAGAAAACGGACCACCGGACCACGGGGGGTGACTCATTATGACAGAGATGTGACTCGCGAAGAAAAGCTTGTAGCACGAACCGGACCAGGTTTCTGACCTCAAGTTGTAGATCCCTCGCTCGTTGTGGGTTTACACTTAGAACATGTGACGTTATGATCCGAAGATCTCTGCAGAATCGTTCTACGCACTCAGCACTGCGTTTGACTCAGACACTCCTCATCTAGGAAGCGCATCCCGGGGCCCAACTTCAGCGTCGTTGGCGCCTTTGACGGAGAAGATGGCTCATGCGAAGCCTGAGGCTCAGCCGAACAAGTTCACAGAAAGATCGTCAAGACGAGACAGAGACAGACTCTCACAAGTTCCAAGACATCATAAAACTCACGTGACGCCCACATACTTTTACACTCTAAAATCCAGAAAAAAACTGCCTCTGCTGACTCTTTTGCACCAAGTTCGTTCCAATTCCAACTCCGGTCGTGGACCTCGGTGATCTCGTCGTCACTTCCTTCAGCATCGACATCGGCGTCTTCCTTCGCCTAGAGCACTCCCCGACACCCAGACAAACATCCCTCCTCTCCTCCAAAGAAATACAACATGTTTTTACATGAAAACTGTCTAAGCGATGGCCTCCAACCTTAGGAGCAAGAAGCTACTAGGGGCTCCTGGCATCGCTACTAGGAGCGATCGGACGCTACTAGGGGCTCCTTTACTACTAGGAGCGATCGGACGCTACGAATGGAGCAAAGGGCATCGCCATGGCCTCCAACCTAATACCTCGGACACGTCGAAGCAGGCATTTGCCCCTGCTTCGTCAAGGCGGCAGTGTCCCGGTTCGCAGTGGTCGCTGGCCTCGTAGATAAACTTGGGCCTTTCAGCCTGCGGCGGCGAGACCAAGTTGGCCAGTGGAACGAGACCACTTGACAGTCAAAGCACCCACGTTCTCAACACGCCAACGACAAAGCAATCAAACCAAGGTAGTCGTTCGACGCAGGACAACACGACGACGACACAGTTCTCGCAAATCTCGCCGCGCGAATCGCGCGCCTTGGAAAACGTGAGAAGCCCCTGCACACGAAAGACTCTTTCTTTCTGGTGGTGCAACAAACGAACCGATGCGGTGTTCCGATCTTCCCTTGGCAAATAGGGATATATGGATGAGCAAAGAAAAACCTAGAAACAGGCAGTGTCTATTTAATAAACAGCATCAAGAGGGTCACCACAAATGTGATCCATCATGTTCGTCTGAGTTGCTTCAACTTGAAAAGAAGAGGGAGCCAAGAAGGTAGAACTGTAAAGCCAGATTGTCCAGTCTTGGAAAAGGACTTCTATGTTCCAGCGCTTTTGGACAAAGTTCAGGATGGAGATGAGAAAGAGGGGCGATACAAGTAGGTATTGAGAAAAACCTTGGTCATTTTGAAAGACTCTCCAAGAACTACCCCTTTGTGGTCTCCCTTTCATCCTCCAATTCCGGGCCTTTCTTTTTCGTGGCTTTGTCGTCAGTGCCAGTGCCAGCGACACCGCCAAAATGGAACTACCCAATGCCATATGTAGTGGTCCATTGGAATCCTGGAATAGAGAGATATGCTAGTAGCGCCCTCTTGTCAGCAGTAGTAAGAATGCTCCTAGTAGCATCCTTGCTCCTAGTAGCGATGCCCTTTGTTCCTAGTAGGGTCCTTGTTACTAGTAGTAAGGCCAGGAGCCCCTAGTAGCGTCCTTGCTCCTTGTAGCGATGCCATTTGTTCCTAGTAGCATCCTTGCTACTAGTAGTAAGAATGCTCCTAGTAGCGATGCCAGGAGCCCCTAGTAGCGTCCTTGCTCCTAGTAGTAAGGCCAGGAGCCCCTAGTAGTAGTAGCGATACCCTCTGTTCCTAGTAGCATCCTTGTTACTGGTAGTAAGAATGCTCTTAGTAGCGATGCCAGGAGCCTAGTAGCGTCCTTGCTCCTAGTAGTAAGGCCAGGAGCCCCTAGTAGTAGTAGCGATCGATGCTCTTTGTTCCTAGTAGCTCCTTGTTACTAGTAGTAAGAATGCTCCTAGTAGCGGTCTGAGTGTCTTCGTTGTCAAATTGAGTTGTCAAAACGTCGCGAAAGCTGCATGAGCGAAACATGCCACTGATTTGCTGATATGCCCAGCTGCATGATGTTCAAATCTGTGACGTCTTTCTGGAAGTTTACGCAACGTTCATAGTAATCAAATCCACTATCGTCAATGTTCAATTCAAGGACATCTGTGCAGTTGTTCAGTACCCTGACGGTCCTTGCTAAACATCTCCATCCAGCTTGGGATGTCTCGTTCTCGAGGCTTTTTGATGTAGCGGCGCTGGCAAGCTACACGCGGTTCAATGACTGAGAGAAGCCTTCGAACTCTCTCTCTCTCTCTTTCTCTCTCTCCGAAAGATGTTGCTTTTATCGACGATTTCTTTAGAGATTAACTCATCCACATGTCGAGCTGGCTACATGACTGCACAAAAGCAGAACATCTCTACCATCCAACAGCACTCACCTCGTCGTCAAAGGCCTTCCTCTGACTCGTATTCATAGGCGCCTCATTTGCAATCCTGGCACCCGACATGGGAGGATTCCTTTGTTTCTGGCTTGGTCACATAGGTCATTCCATCATCAATACTTGACTTCTTTTAACACATTACATCATGTCCTTTGTTGGAGTGCTACGCTTCATACGTGACACTGCAGCAAGAACACAAACGCTCTAGCAGCCCGCGGGCCTACACACCTTGCCACACTCCTGTGTCAAGACATCAAAATGGAAAAAGAGCGTAAAGGCTCCACCGCTACTAGGGTGGAGGCTATCGCTAGTAGGCTGGAGGCCATCACATAGCTCAAAAGCTCAGGCAAACCTACAAGTTTCAGGCAAAACTGTCAGGGCTTGTAGTGGTCAACAACCGCCAAGTAGAAACTCAGTAAGTCCAAATATCATCCATTGACCCATGGTGTTCTGCAACAATAGCAGACTGGTTGGCTGCTTGTCACTAAGTACCAAACACAACTGATGTCAAATTCAAAAACATAAATACAGTACGTCAGTCTCGTGCTCTCTCAAGAAACTGACGGTTCCTCCGCTGCTCCAGCGTCAGTCTTCAGCTCGTTCTTCTGAAGGAAAAAGGAGGAAGTGTCAGGCAAAAATTGAAATAGCAAATGCACACCAAAATGTCAAGGAAGGCATGACCTTTCTGCTTTGAACGGGGCTAAACCTGTCCAAGCATCCTGTGGCCTTGATGTTGGTTCCAGATCTATCGAAAGCAAGTCTGAATCCAATGGTTAATTGGTGCTCCTCTTGCAAATTCAACTGCGTGAGCATCCTGAAACAAAGCGTGTCCAAATTCTTTGCTTGGCACCTGGTCTTCATTTGGCTCGCGAAGTGAGTGAACACGCAAGGACTGGATGGTGTACCTGTGACGTGGGTAAAACCGGTGGTTGCTTACGTGTCTAATTCTATTGCTACTTAATGCTACTTATATAAGGCAGAGGCAACTTGCACGGGCAAAGCACCATGCTTGCTTGTCAAGAGAGTATTTCATCAAACCCTGTCAGCCAAACTGGCCAAGGCTATGTGGTTGTCAAAGCGAAGCAGGTCTGGGGCTGCGGCAGAAAGGCTGCACAAATATGAATTTTCATGTGTCGCCTGGCAAATTGCAGCACATCCAAAGAAATCAACCATGCGAAAAACTAGGCTTCACAAAAACAGTAAACATGGCAACAAGTGCTCGCTCCTCGATGTCTTAGACATGCATGCATATCAAACAGTATGCGGTGGCTTTCGCCTCTTACAACAAAACATTGATGGTAACAGGTCAAAAGATTGTTTGAGTGTCTGACTTGGCAGGCTACGGGTTGCCGCACAACATTGGAACGCCGCTGAACGCAGCAAACTCGAGCCAAAACACAAGTGAAAACGGACCCAGAACAACTGAATCTATGTATTTCATGGTGTTTGTAATTTTTTGTATTACATTTTATGGTATTTTGCGAAGCAAAACAAGTGTTTTCACACATGTTTGAGCCTACAATGTCGTGGTACACTCGATTTGTGCGTGTTATGCACGAGTGATTGGAAGCGCTCCAAGTCGTGACACGGCCCCTTCGCTCGTGCACACGCTGCAGAAATCTAAATGTTCTGCATTCATGTAATGCGGGCAGTTTTCCTTAAAATGGATCTTTCTGCCGCGCTTACATACCTTGTACATGAGGCTTTGCCTCATCAGCTTCAATCCATGCTCTGAAGCGAGGCGGGCTTCTTCAAAAGCCATGTCCCTCTGGTCCCTCACTTCCTGGATTGTCTGTTCCAGCTCTTCAATGTACGTTTCGAGCTGGAACACTTTGTCCTGCATCCCGACACTCTCTTCTTCATAGTGCCTCAGGGCTTCGAAGTCCACCCAGCAACAGGCTTGTGTTGCCTTTTCCGTCTTCTTCTCATCAGCGACCAGGTACTTCTTGATCTCCCTGATCACCACTTTGAGGATGGGCGCTAGGTGAACTGCCTTTGGATCACATTTCGCCGCAGCCACTCTGTCAGGCCCAAGGCTCCACAAATGGCGCAAAGCCAAAATATCATCCATTGCCATCCTTTGTCTTCATCTGTGTCAGCTCCTTCATCAATCTTGCTGTCAGTGGCTTGGTCCATTGTTGCCATCATCAGCAACAATCCGATGTGAAGGTCCTTGTTCTTCATCACCTTCTTCAATCCCTTCTTCATCTGTTCTCGGTGCTCGAGCTCCTTGTACTCCTCTTCACCAACTCTGTCGCCGCCATGCTGCACCATCTTCAGCATGTAGAGGAGTCCCATCATGCGCTTCTTCGTCAAAGCTTTTGTGCCTAAATCTGCACAGTTGAGCTCGGTTGGAATGGGTCCAATGCTCAGGGTCTTGCCCTTCTCCCTTTGTTGCACCCAGAGCAGTGAAGCGTCCAAATGTCAAACTCGACCGATGCCTTGTCGTTGCACCATCGACCTTGCAGCTGAGCTGTCGGATCGCACCTTCATTTCACACTTCTCCTCCCTGATCTTCTCCCATAGGTGCTTGACGAGCAATCCATCTGAGGATCCTGCAACCACGGCCACGAATTCTGATTCCCCTGATGAAAGGGATATTGTCTTCTGTGCCCTGACACTTGACTCCATGAGGTTGCCGTCGATGAACACCTGGAAAGAAGTGGTACTCCTGCGGTCATTGCGGTCTCCAGCGTAGTCCGCATCTGTGACCACCTCCAGGAGGTGTTGCTCCTTGTCCTCCACATCCTCGGAGTCCTTCACATTCATGACTGACTGTCCTTTGGCCCTTGCTGCCAGCCTCACTCCATAGCCCTCTCTGCCTTGCAAATAAGAGCACACACGCCACGCCTTGTTCCAGGCTTGCTTCGTAGGGCGAGACAGGAAACGGGCTAAGTTCTGTATGGCGAACTGTGCGTCTGGGCGCTCTCCTGCAAGGTACATCAGTCGCCCAACAACACTTCTGTATCTTGTCACTTCAGCTCCTTCTAGTTCTTCGCTTTCATCTCTCTTGCTGAAACTTTGTTCCATTGGTGTCTTCCTGTAGGCTTTCTTGAACAGGTCCATCTCCTTGCCAAGGCTCTCATATTGCTTGTAGTCGCAGCGGATGTCGCACCAACTCCTGTAGAAGGCGAAATCCCTCTTCAAGTATGAGGATCTCTCTCCCATCAGGAATGGCCCTTTCTCCTCAATGCTCCATTTCTTCTTCATCTTGAAGAAGTCGACAAACTCCTTTAGGGCTTTCTCATCTCCAACCATGAAGGCATCGTCCACATGGACTGTGATGTAGATCACCTTGTGAATCATCAGCAACGTGGGCTGCATGATGTCCTGCTCCATGCCAAATTCCTTTGCAGCTCCAGTGAAAAGTTGAAACCACTGTGATGCTGCTGTTCGCTGTCCTGGCAGGCATCGAATCAACCTGTAGACCTTTCCATCAACTTCCACGTAGGCCTTTTCATCTTCAGGTTGAGCAGCCATCAGAAATGCGTCCTTGATGTCTATCGTCATGGCCACGAAATGCCTGAAGACGTTCAACATGAGGTTGATGAGCATCTTTGGTATCACTAGCATTGATGTCGGGGCGAACGTTTGTTCCATGTCCACGCTGGACTTGAACTGCCTCGCTACCAGGCGTGCTCTTCGAAACCATCTTAACAGGTGAGGACAGCCATGGGTTTGCCCTGCGAGGCCCGTTTGACTGGAAGTGGCCAACATGCGTCAAATGGCCAAGTTGAGAGGGCCGTGCAGACAGTGCGCAAGATGGCAAACTATTTGAGATCATTTGCCGAGACCAAAGCCCACATCCAGATTGCCGGGAGCTTCCACATGCACCCATGGGCATTCAGGCACGCATCAATTCTTATCAACCGCTTTAGAGTGCTGGAGAAGATTGGCCGCACGAGCTGTGAACTGACGACTGGACATGCCCACAATGGGAAGCTTGCATTGTATGGAGAGACAATATATTCTGATGCTGACTTCTCAGAACTTCTATCAGCGCTTCCTGCGTCAAACCTTGACCTCCGGTCGGACTGGTAGGACTGACAGGAGCTTGTGGTGGGTCCACATATGCACTTGGTGTTGGACTTGCTGGTACCGGTACATTCGCTGGAAAGGTTGGTCCATTTGTGCCACTACCTTCTCCTTCTCGTTCAGGTGGTGGACTTCTCTCACGTTCCCGTCGCCTCGTTGGCGATGCTGACTGCTTTGGTGACAGTCTTCCGGTAAGACTCGTGCTCATCTTTCCTGGGAGCTCCACGCTCCGCTACCACGAAAAACGTGGGTAGCACCTTACGGTAAACTACACTTCTTCTGGATTCTTAAGCTCGCAACAGGCTCACTCGATGAGTCCGGTACACTCCAAAACTCGTTCCCACAGTCTCAACACGCGTGAAGCAAACAACAACTCAAGCTAACGCAGTGCACTCCCTCGCGCTTTTACTCACACTTGAGCGAAAAATAACCGTCGTTTCAAAGACTGTACATATGTATACATCACACAAGCAGCTCTTTACAAAAAACTTTTAAACACTCGAAAACGCTAAAGCACTCTTTCAAAACTTCAAGAAACAAACTACAGTGTCAAGTCCGGTTCTCTCCCTTTCCGAACACGAACCAAACAACACAAAACAAACAAAACCAAACAAAACAACAAGCACGAGCGAAGTGGCCATCCAACGCATGGATTTCTTCAAGGTGCGCCACCGCCAAGACGACACCGAGCTGCCTAAGACGATTTCTCTGCCTCTTGCAGTCGTGCTTGCTCGGCGATGGCCTCAGTCACTACCGCTCCCTCGATGACCTCCTGAGGCTCGTTGTCAGTGGACCTTCGTCACGGCCTGCGACACGCAGCGGCATGGCGATTTTTGTGCAAAGTCTCAGCGTTCCACTGTCTCGCTTTGCATGGTTAGCGGAAGGTGACCAACCGTGTTTGCCAACTGAACTTGCTCTTTCCCATCAAGCCCTTTTTTGCGCCCATCGGGCACGGTGCCTTCCATCGGCTTGGGAAAGGATGTGCACCTGAGCAGAGCTTTCAAGGTGGACATGGTGATTGCCAAAGGTTTGGTTTGCCCATGGAGTTGCTCACTACAAGGCACGTCATGGAGGACAAGCTCAACGGTACCGACAGCCCACACTGGAAGCAGAGGCAACAGAGAAAGAGTTCAAGGCGATTTCAGGCAATTGCTGCAGGAGTGGTGACACATCACAACTCAAAGTGGCAGAAGAGCTTGCATCCTTGCTAACTTCTTCATTTCCTCTTGCTTTCTGCAGCCTCCAAGACTGCCTCCTGGTGACGTTGGACATCTCAGTCCTGCCAAGGTCCCCGGAAACACAAGCCTTTTGGCCTACCGCCAAGAATGGAAGGAAGTCGAATTGGTGGGAATTTGTGTTGGGAAATGTTCAACACCCAATACTTTGCGCTGGAAAGTTGCTCAAGAAGAGATGGAGCATCTGTGCAGGCTCAGCTGATGTCAATTTGAGGCATGAGAGAAACATTTCAGTGCCAACCCAGAGGAACATACTGGACCATCTGCTCAAAGCCAGCACCAGTTGAGCCTGGCCGTGGATGCGCCAGCAACTCTCGCTGAGCAATTTCATGCTCGATTGGTGATGCCTGAAGCTTTCTCTCCAGCAACTCTTGTTGATGCTGGGAGGCCTGTTAGGCCGTGGGACATGTCGGCCAAAGCTCTGGGTGTGTTCTTTGCTGCTTGCTCTCGGTCAGCAGCTTGGTGATCAGCTAAGCAAGCGTAAGCGTCCCCTTTTTGATCCCGCTCCTTGAGCCAAACATCACAGTCGGTTTGACTGTATCAATGTCCTTCATCTCTTCTTCTGAAGAGGTCTGACTGGTCGCAGTCGTCCAAAACATATTAAAAGAACAAGAAAGCATATCAAAACACTCTCAAGCTATTCTCTACTATACACAGCTCTACCCAAGCTCTACAGATCTCTAAACTTCTCTACACAGGGTTTCTCTAGAAGTGCTCCTAGCCAGTGTTGGTCACATTCCACCTTGTCCTGCTAAGGAGGTCAAAGAGAACACACTCCCAGAAGGAAGATCCCTACTCAGCTCGGACAGAAAAACGACTACACGGCGGTTGGCCCGAGAGCGAGACATGTAATTGTCCAGCACTGTCGAAAAGATGTATAGACAGAGAGAAAGAGAGGGTGGATGTGAAGGAGTGACAGTGTGATGTGCAGGTGCGATATAGATCTGTAGATGTATGGAGGTGGAGGGGTAGATCTGTGGATGTGAGCGTGCGAAGATGTAAATGCACAGATACGAGAGAAAAGATATGTAGAAAGAAAGAAAGACAGGACAGATGTGAAGGAGCGACAGTGTGGATGTACAGATGTGATATAGATGTGCAG